TCCCATCCGGTCACATGGGCAGCAAGCCACTCCCACAAAGGAGGCCACACCCACAGAGTAAGTTCGAACAATTTTTGAAACCCACCACTGAACCACAATCACTCCATGCACACGATAGTTTTTTTTCTTTTTCTTTCTTTTTTCGTTTCTGCTGTAATTTCGCACCAGTGAGGTTAAAACCAGTTTCGTTGTATTTAAGTACAATGACAGTAAAGATTATACTTATACTTTCTTACGTCTGGTCTAACGAAGAGAAGCACTATGGATTACATGATAGCAGTTTTTCGGTGCTTGAGGGACTGTTACACAGAAGAAGGGTTTGACCTATTCTCCCAAGCACCTGAAGGCAGGACAAGAATGAATGGAAACATATCAAGGAGAGATCTAACCTTCCGCCAAGGAGAAGTTTCCTGATAGTGAAAACAGTTGATCAGTGGAATGGCTTTCCTTCAGAAGTTGTGGGAGGTTTTTAAGAAGAGATTGAACAGCCATTTTTTTTAAAAAAAAAAACTCTTATTCTATTATGGAAAAGTGGGAAGTAGGAACGCCCCCCATTCATTGCAGATTTTCTGAGAGGTGCTCCTAGCTGTATCTAGTTGAAGATTTGGAAGTCCATAAAGAAGTATTCCTTTAGCTGAAGTCCCTTTGAAGGCCTTATCCATACCTCTAGAATGATGTGCCATTGGACAGTTGCCTTTACCTTCATGCACTGTGAAAATCCATCACATTATTGGTAGCCTCATGGATGTACCAAAAACAGGTGTGGCAGATCAAAAATGAAGAGTCTGATTGTAATCCACAAAAGCACCCCATAAGTCTGCTGGTTTTTCCAGTTGCAATGTCTGGCTGTGAAGGTTGGACTATAAGAAAGGCTGAGCGCCAAAGAATGGAGGCCTTTGAGCTCTGGAGAAGACTCCTGTGAGTCCCTTGGACTGGAAGGCGATCCAACCGGTCAGTCCTAGAGGAGATCAACCCTGACTGCTCTCTAGAAGGCCAGATCCTGAAGATGAAACTCAAATACTTTGGCCACCTAATGAGAAGGAAGGACTCAATGGGAAAAGCCTAATGCTGGGAAAAATGGAGGGCAAAAGAAGAAGGGGACGGTAGAGAATGAGGTGGCTGGATGGAGTCACTGAAGCAGTAGGCCTGAGCTTAAATGGACTCCAGAGGATGGTAGAGGACAGGAAGGCCTGGAGAAACGTTGTCCATGGGATCACGATGGGTCACACAGGACTTTGCAACTAACAGCAAAGTCTGCTGGCAGAATAGAGCTCTGGGTGGTGTGTCTCCAATGTTCTCCAATGTTGTACGATACTTGGTAAATATGAAGACTCATGAAGTTTCAAAGCGTACTTTCCTTTAACAAAAAGTCTTGGATGGAACACTGTAAACATACAATAAAATGTTAATATGGACACAGAGCTAGCACGAGGTTTATTTACTGTTTCAGGTTTTGGCATCCAATTTATATTGTGTAAAGTAGTACCTGTGATTATGTTAGAAACATACTGTGTCTTTGTGAAATTATGAACATTTCCTGTTATTTATTTGGCCGTGGAGTACACTCGCAAAGGTTTACATCTCAAACTCCCCTGAAGGGGAATGTGAACTGGGTCAGAACAATAGGTTGTGTGAAGAAATTTCTGCTGGGCGTTTGTTTATGTATCTCTTAAATGTCTATATCATTGTGTTTCCACAACAAAAGAATAGTGTGGTGTGACTTAAGAAGTAGACTTAAAACTGAGATAGATTTATTTGAAAGAATTTTGAAGAATCCCTGCCTTCTTGTTCCAAAATAGCATCTCAGTAGGCCCTGAGTTCCCCCCTAAAAGTTGTCATTAAATTTTTAATGCGTTAGAAGGGAAAATATATAAAATACCTAAAAAGAAAAATTGCTGGTAATTTTTAAATTTAAATAGAATGTAGAATATAAAATAAGAGAACAGAGAATAGAGAGGAATGGAATGGAATAGAATAGAACAGGGGAGAATAGAATAGAATAGAATAGTAAAATATAGAGGATTGGATAGGATAGGATAGATCAGATCTGGAAGGGACCTTCAAGGTCTTCTAGTCCAGCCCCCTTGTTCAAGCAGGGGACCTTATACCATTTCAGACAAGTGGCTGTCCAGACTCTTCTTAAAAACCTCCAGTGATGAAATACCCACAACTTCTAAAGGCAAGCTGTTCCACTGGTTAGTTTTTCTCACTGTTAGGAAGTTTGAAATGCTTCTAAAATACTTTAATACTAAATTAAATGCAGTTTTTAGGTTGTGCGAAGAATTAGATTTGAAAGGCAAAATGGGGTTAGGAGCATGCAGTGTATTGTACGTAGCCCCAATAATAAATGCCTGAAACCAGCTATTCCTTTTCCTGGGCTCATGTGGCTCCCTTCTGCAATGGACATGTGACTCCAGGAGAAGATACGCTTGATCTAAGTATTCTCAACAGATGCTACATGTGCACTTAAATCACATTTTGCCCTTCAAATCCAGACCTTGGCGTACCCCAAGTACTGTTTTTATCTGGGTTCTGCCTTGTCTTTAAAGCATGAGATCACAAAAAAATAATCATACAATTCTTGAATTTAAAAGAGAGAGAGAGAGAGAGAGAGAGAGAGAGAGAGAGAGAGAGAGAGATGATTGATAGATAGATAGATAGATAGATAGATAGATAGATAGATAGATAGATGATAGATAGATAGATAGATAGATAGATAGATAGATAGATAGATAGATAGATAGATAGATAGATATGGCTGTTCTAGTGAAGAGAAGGACCAGGGGAGACGTGATAGCAGTCTTCCAATATTTGAGGGGCTTCCATAGAGAGGAAGGGGTCAAGCTGTTTACCAAAGCACCCGAAGGCCAGACAAGGAATAACGGATGGAAACTGATCAAGGAGAGATTCAACCTGGAAATAAGGAGAAATCTTCTGACAGTGAGAACAATCAACCCATGGACCAGAGGTTGCCTTTGGAAGTTGTGGGAGCTTCATCCCTGGAGGCTTTCAAGAAGAGACTGGACTACCATTTGTCAGAAATGGTGTAGGGTCTCCTGCTTCAATGGGGGGGGTTGGACTAGATGACCTACAAGGTCCCTTCCAACTCTGTTAATCTGAATCTAAAAAAAGATGATACTAACTAAAGCAGGGCTCCCTAACCCAGGTCCACGGACTGGTACCAGGCATGCCAGAAACTGGGCTGCGGAAACAAACGAAGCCCCCATCCGTGGGATGCAGGCAGCACGCAAAACCACGCTCCTTCCGGTCCACGGAAAAGCCTCTCCAAGAAACTGGTCCCTGGTACCCAAAAGGTTGCCGGGGGGGGGGCATTGGACTTAAAGGACAAGGCTGAGGAGTTCTGGGAGTTGAAATCCACACCCCTTGACGTTGCTAAAGTTGAGAAACACTGCAATAGCTAGTTAACAGTCTTAACTGTATTGTGGGTGCAATACAGTTAGCCCTCAACTTACAACAGTTCATTTAATGACTCTTCCAAGTGACAACGGCACTGAAAAAAGGGACTTATGACCATTTTTTACAGTTGCAACCTTTGCCGCATCCCCATGCTCATGTTAACAAAATTCAGGTACTTGGCAACTGGTTCATACTTACGACCGTTGCTGTGTCCCAAAACCACGTGATTTCCCCTTTTCTGCCCTTCAGACAAACAAAGTCCATGGGGAAGTCAGATTCCCTTAACAACTGGGTTACTAAATGATCAACTGCAGTGATTCACTTAACAACTGCGGCAAGAAATGTCGTAAAATGGGGCAACACTCACTTAACAGATTCTCACCTAACGGCATAAATTTTGGGCCCAATTGTGGTGGTTATAAGCTGAGGGCTACCTGTATACTACTTTCAGTATCAAATGCCGAGGACTGATTTTTTTATTTTTATTTATTATTTTTATTTTTTGCTATATAAAGAAAGAGCAACAATTCAATATTTATATAAACAGTAGTTGTCTGTTTGAGGATTAGTCATCATCATTAATAGTTATAATGTTCCTTGGTCACATAAGAACAGTATTTTCTCATCATAATATTAATACTTATTAATTCTTAATACAAATTCCTTTTAGTAATAAACATATTGTAATAAGCCCTCATAGTAAAATTAGTCCTTCTCTTATAATTTTAAATGTTCTAACTTCTGTTTCTGTTAGTTAACCATTGATAAAATGAATCCCATATTTCAAAATATTCCGTGTCTTCCTTCTCTTTAATTTCAAGTGTTAATCTATCCATTTCTGCACATCCTAGTATTTTTTAATTATCCTCTCTCCTTTAGGGATCACCACACCTTTCCAATGTTCTGCAAATACAATTCTAGCCTCTGTTAACACATGTAATATTAGATACATAGTCCCTTTATTACATTTTTCTGGTATGATACCCAACATAAATATTTATGGTTTTATATCTATACATGTTCCTTTATCATTTTTTTCTATCCAAGCACCATATTTTTCAGAGTATAAGATGCACCTTTTCCCCCCAAAAAGGGGGTGAAAATCTGGGTGCGTCTTATACACTGAATACAGCATTTTTTGTCTCCCAAAACACCGCCCCCGCGCATCCTTTTTCCCCCTCAAAAATGGACGTGCAGAGGGTTTGGGAAGCCTGCAAAGTGCTCCTGGGGGCTGGGGAGGTCAAAAATGAGCAAAAAAACAGGCTGTGTTTTGCTCGTTTTTGTCCCCACCCCCACCCAGCATCCAGGAGCACTCTACAAGCCTCCCAATGCCTATGCATGCCCTGTTATTTGCAAAAAATGGGCCACAGCCCCTAGGAATACTTTGCAGGCCTCTCAAACTGCATGCAGAGGGGTTGGGAGGCCTGCAGAGTGCAACACCTTTTTTTAAAAAAATATTACTTCTCCAAAATCTTGGTGCGTCTTATACTCCTGTGCATCTTATAGTCCAAAAAATATGGTATATATTTTTTGTCCAGTATGCTCTTGCCTTTGGGCACATCCACCACATATGGTAGTACGGGCCCAGAATCTGATTACACTTCCAACATCTTAGTTAATCTTGCTGGTGGGAAGTGCCATCTGTAAAACATTTTATATACATTTTCTTTGTATGCAATAGACATTGTTAATTTATCATTTCTATCCCACAACGTGAAAGGACCAATTTTTAGAGAGAGAGAGAGACAGAGAGACAGAGAGACAGAGACAGGCAGAGAGAGACAGACAGAGAGAGACAGACAGAGAGAGAGAGACACAGAGAGACAGACAGAGAGAGAGACAGAGAGAGACAGAGAGAGACAGACAGAGAGACACAGACACAGAGAGAGAGACAGAGAGAGAGACAGACAGACAGACAGAGAGACAGAGAGAGAGATGGAGAGAGACAGACAGAGAGAGACACAGAGAGAGAGAGACAGAGAGAGAGAGACAGAGAGAGAGAGACAGAGAGAGAGAGAGAGACAGACACAGACAGAGAGACAGAGAGAGAGAGAGAGGAGAGAGAAGACTATGATGGTGGTTACTGTGAAAACATATATTCTTACCTGCTTTCCTAATGGAAAGCAAGTGGAATAAAGCCTCATCTGTTAATTGAGCAGAAACCTGTAGGAGAAACTGCTCCACAAATAATACTGGATTGTACCCAAAGAGTCCATTTTAGTGTTAAAGGTTTGATTTCCAGAGCTCGCTAAAACCTGGGTCCATTGTGTCTTGCACACCCTGTGCCAGAAGCCATCAAAAAATGCTTAGATTCTGCTGTTTATTAACATGCTTTCCTGAAAAGCCATCCTAGAGTGCTGGATTGCTGTGACACATAATACTTTTCAAATATTAAAATTACCATAAGTGCTAAACTGATTAGGAACATATTCATGTAGTGTAATTAGCAGGAGTATTCTGAACATGTCTTTATCTGTAATTGGCAAAAAAAGAGGTTTCCCCCCACCCCACCCCTCACTCTGCTGCTTAAATGCTATTATTTTACATAGGAAATGAATAAAACCCTAGATGTCATCTTGTAGAACTTCCTGACGAGGAAGATATAATATTTGCCATTATCCGTGGTAAATATGATGGACACATTTCTAGAAATAGGAAGAGATGCATCATTGTTTTAAAAAAAAAATCTTCAAAACTGGGCTGGTAGCTAAAACAAGGAGATACTCTCAGAATGATCGTTCCAATTGTTATGATTTTCTTGAGAAGATTAATCAGAGCCATTTGTTTTGAAATATCTGCTGCAGACATGTATTATTTATGAAACAATGGGGAAATTTCTGCTGTTCTGGAGCTAGTGTGTGACGGATTGTTCTTGGATATTGATATGAAGGTATCTTTATAATAGATAACTAGTTTTTGCACTGCCAAATAATGTTGTTGGGAGCCCATCTAGGCAAATAGTAAAGGAAATGGTTCCCCTCGCACATATGTGCTGGTGATTCCCGACTCTAGGAGGCAGTACTCATTTCCGTTTCAAAGCCGAAGAGCCAGCGCTGTCCGAAGACGTCTCAGTGATCATGTGGCCAGCATGACTAAACACCGAAGGCACACGGAACACTGTTACTTTCCCACCAAATGGGGTTCCTATTTTTCTACTTGCATTTTACATGCTTTCGAACTGGTAGGTTGGCAGAAGCTGGGACAAGTAACGGGAGCTCACTCTGTTACGTGGCGCTAGGGATTCCAACTGCCAAACTTTCTGATCAACAAGCTCAGCATCTTAGCCACTGTGCCACCTTTGTATTTAATGGGATGAAAAACTAAATAAATACACTTTGATTTGAATGGCCTATGGAAGTCATTTGTGACCCTATAGGTGTAGATGGCATATAAAGATAATGGTCTGCGTGCAAAACATTATTTTGTTCACTTCATTCAGTCAAATGTCATTAGCACTCATTAGCTAATAAGGCTTGCTTTTCTGCAAGTTGCAATTTAGTTGGGCCTCTGTATTCCTTGACCTTGATTCTAAAGAGAGGTCTTTAAATATTTTCCACCAGGTAAAGGATATGTCAATTTATCGACTTCAACAAATACAACACTCTACGTCAACGACGGGGAAAATCTGGGCTTGGTAGTAACGTATGAGGCGTATCCGAAACCAGAAGAGGAACTGTGGCTATACATGAATAAAACACTGCAGAATTCATCTGATCATTATGTGAGAGTCACAAATATAGACAAAAACAGGTAAGGCAAGGCATGAAATTGAAGTATCAATAGAGCCGAGGTGGCGCAGTGGTTAGGGTGCAGTACTGCAGGCCACTTCAGCTGACTGTTATCTGCAGTTCAGCGGTTCTAATCTCACCGGCTCAAGGTTGACTCAGCCTTCCATCCTTCCGAGGTGGGTGAAATGAGGACCCAGACTGACTCTGTAAACCGCTTAGAGAGGGCTG